ACTACCACTTGAGCCATATCCCCAGCCCTACACAATTTATCTTGATGTTCATAACACTTCATGTGGGATTCCCCCCACACCAACCAATTCTCCAATTCTTTGTTGGATACTTTGGTGTCCTACAATTTAATTCAGTTCTGATACTATCTACCAATCCCACAAGTCAAAGGGCTTCATTCATCCCATAAGACCCCTCACCCCCAGTTAGGATGCTAATTACAAGTTTCCACCTCTTCTTTTTGGGGGGGTGCTGGGGATTGAACTCAGGGGCTCTCAACACTGACACACATCCCCAGCCCTATTTTGTATTTTATTTAGAGACAGAGTCTCACAGAGTTGCTTATCACCTCGCTTTTGCTGAGGCTGGCTTTGAACTTGCGATACTCCTGCCTCAGCCTCCCAAGCCTCTGGGAATACAGGCATGGGCCACTGTGCCCAACACAAGTTTCCACCTCTTATACTTCTGGCCAGTCAGCTACAAACTAGAGGAGGGTACGATCCGCTCCTTGAGTTCAATAATTTGCTAGAATGGCTCACAGAACTCAGGGAAACACTTTATTTATGTTTACTGATTTGTTATAAAGGATACAACTCAGGACATAGAAGAGATGCATAGGGCAGGTACTGGGAGAGGAGTAGGGAGCTTCCATGTCCTCCCTGGGCATGCCACATTCCCGTCACCTCCATGTGTTCCCCAACCTGGCAGCTCTCTGAACCCCATCCTTTTGAGTATTTATGGAGGCTTCATCAYACAGACAAGATTGATTAAAACACAGCCATTGGTGGGAGGGAGGGCCGAAAGCCCCCACCCCCTACCACTGGGGACTGAACCCAGGGCACTCTACCACTAAACTACATCCCCAGGCCTTTTTAATTTTTTCTCAGATCTTTTTTTTTTTTTTTTTAAACCAGAGATTGAACTCAGAGGCACTCGACCACTGAACCACATCCTCTAGTTTGTATTTTATTTAGAGACAGGGTCTCACTGAGTTGCTTAGTGCCTTGCCAGCCTCCCAAGCTGTTGGGATTACAGGTGTGCACAACCATGCCCAGCTCTCAGATCTTTATACACACACACACACACACATACACACACACATATATTAGTTGTTTATAGATCTTTATTTATTTATTTATATGTGGTGCTGAGAATCGAAACCAGTGCCTCACACATGCTAGGCAAGTGCTCTACCACTGAGCCACAACCCCAACCCGTTTTTCTCAGTTCTTTCTAAAAGTTTTATTTTGAGACTGGCCATGAACTTGTGATCCTCCTGCCTCAGCTGAATTGCTTAGGGCTCACTAAATTGCTGAGGCTGGCTTTGAACTTGCAATCCTCCTGCCTCAGGCTCACGAAGCACGGAGATTAAAGGCATGTGCCACTGCTCCCAGCTCAACAATAGATTTTTTTTATGTGTCTCTGTTGCTTCTAATATACACTCAAATTTGAGAGCAGATATCCTGAAGAAATAGAGCAGTTCCTGAGCTTGCAGGGCTTTCCAGGTATTGCCTGAAGGTACTAACATAGCTTAAGGACCTGTCATTGGGTGCTGGGGCTGCTCAGGAGTAGGGATAGAATGCTGACTTAGTTGCAAAAAGGGAACCACTGGAATCCTATGAGATTAGAGCTACTTTGTCAGTGCCCTGTGTTGCTAAGGGCCCTTGTTATGATTCTGTGCTCTCCAGGGGACTGCTATTTAAAGTTAGGTCCCACAGAGTGTGCCTACAAGAAGAGAATGCACTGGAAGGGAACACACTAGCTTGGAGTAACCATCCCCCTGGCTGTCTCCCCACAAGGTCACCTCAGGCATACCTAAACCTCAATTAAGGACCATACTCCTCTCTAGACCCTACCTCAGGAACAGTTCTTACGACTGTCTTCTGGGTTTCAGTAGCCCAGAAGAGAGATTTCGCATGAACTGTGAAACTGTCCTATGTCTGTGTTTTGCTTTGTCAAAGACCACTTCACAGTTTAAAGGTCTTATTCAAGCTAAGCAACAACATCTTTTGTACTGATATGTCTTTATTAAATTTAAACTTCAACTTGCCTGAGTTTCAAATGTTATCTTTTATTTAATATGGCAATAAAGAAGTACATGATTTATTCTATTGCAAGTTTGCAGGGTTTTATTAATATTTTGGTAAGTGGAATGCAATTCACTGGGTCTATTTTGGTTTCTATATTATATATTTTGTGCTTTACTAGAATGCCAAAGGGATGTGTGGCACCAAATAAGTCAGAACCCCTGTTGGAACTTCCCTCTCTTTTCCTTCCTTTGGGCCAGGGTAGCACCATCCCTTGCGTTTCCCAGCAGTCACCCACACCTTTGTAAATAAAATGTCTTCTTCCAATTGTCCTAATTTGTGGGTGCTGTTTCCTGTGGAACCCTGATTGACACAGTGCTTGTGTGTATCTGGAAGAAGAACAAGGGGCTGGGAAGAAATATATCTCTGCAGTGCAGTTTCTTGTTGTAAGTGAACAAAAGGATATCCTGATGTCTGTAGCACGCTGGAGTGTGGTTACTGAGCAGCTGTTCCTGAAGTAGGAAAATAAGTCAGGGTTCAGAGTCTTCAGGGCACAGCCTGTAGAACCCAAACCAATTCACCTGCTGCCATTGCCAGAAGCTTTTCCTTGTCTACAAAGTCTCCATGTAGGGCTTTGAGAGGAATGTGACAGCAGTTTATTTTTAAATCTCCCCCTTGTTTCCTGGAATCCATATAGAGCAATGAAGAGAATGGACACACATACACACACACACACACACACACACACACACACACACACACACCATTTTCAGTAAAGCTGAGAAGCTACAAATTCCAAATTATGTATATGTGTGTCTAAAATCCAAGTTGGGCAGGCAGTTCCCAACAGTGCAGCAGAGAWGAGCTGCACTGAAGGGTCCTGGTGACTGCAGTATTGGCAAATACCTACTCATTCCTGGGAGGAAAGGCTTCACCCTCAGAAGGAAAAATCGAGAGCAGGGTTGCTAGAATAGAGGAAAGACTGGGTAGGTGGAGAGAGAATGATTAAAATGCCCAGAGGGACCCAGAAATGGCAGATCTCAGAACATGCTAGCAAAATTCTTTGAATACAGAGTGAAAATCCTTCACAGAGTGCATCTTTTTAGGTGTATGGGGTGATAACAGTCTGTGGGACCTGCTGTGAAACACAGAAGCATGGAAAGGTTTGCAGAAGCAGAGCAAGTACTGGCTATACAAAGGTGCCAGGTTTTAAGGAAATAAACTCAGTATTGTAGCAAAAGAGTCTTTGAATTTGTAAACCAGGAAAGCTGTTCTGAATCCTCTCCTACCCTTTACAAGGCCCTCCTGCTAATCATTCAGAAAAATCTACCATTTAAGTATGAGTAGCAAAAAGAAATGACTAAAACTTCTGTACAACTAATCAGGAGAGCCGAGTGCGGTGGTGCACACCCATAATCTCAGCGACTTTGGAAGGTAAGGCAGGAGGATTGCAAGTTTGAGGCCTAGCTCAGCAACTTAGCGAGGCCCTGTTTCAAAATAAAAAATAAAAAGGGCTGGAGATGGGGCTCAGAGTTTAAATACCCTGGCTTCAATCCCCAATACCAAAAAAAAAAAGGGGGGGGGAAAGAGCAATGAAACTTATCAGAAATGTAGTGCTAAAAGCAGATGGAAATTCAGCCCAAAATTCCATCATGAACAGAAAAACAAAACTTATCATCTTAGCAATGAAAGCAGGCCACACATTAGAAATACAACTACTCAGAGAAGGGACTACAGGTAACAGGCGACTATGAATGGGAGCAGGAGGCAAGAAACAGTAGAAAAATACAAAGCCATTTCAAAAAGAAACATTTTTTCCACATACTAGGCAAGCATTCTACCCCTGAGCTACATCGCCAGTTCGTCTGTCTCTTCCTTCCTTTTTTTAATCCATCTCATTTGTAGATGGACAAAATTCCTTTATTTTATTTATTTTTTTAACTATTTTTTTAATATTTATTTTTTAGGTGTCGATGGACACAATACAATGCCTTTATTTATTTATTTATTTTTATGTGGTGCTGAGGATCAAACCTGGGTCCCACCTGTGCTAGGTGAGCCGCTCTACCTCTGAGCCACAATCCCAGCCCTATTTGTTTATTTTTATGAGGTGCTGAGGATTGAACCCATTGCCTCATGCATGCTAAGCTAACACTGCCACTGAGCTACAGCCCCAGTCCTACATCCCACATTTGTAATAGGCAGTATTATCTCTGTCATTCAATTCAAAATTCAAAATATTTTAAATTCTACTATAATATTTTCTCTAAACAGATATTTTCTCTAAAGAGAGATATTTTCTCTAGATAGAAAATATTAAATGCATTTAAATTATTAAAATATTAAAATCATTTAAATTATTTAGAATGGGATTTTATTTTATTGTGGTGCTGGGGGTCCAACTCAGAGCCTTACTCATGCTAGGCAAGCACTCTATCACTAAGCCACATCCTCAGTCTTGGAAGTAGATAACTTCAAAGATAGCTTATTTTATTTTATTATTATTTGTGTGTGTGTGTGTGTGTGTGTGTGAAAGAGAGAGAGAGAGAGAGAGAAAGAGAGAGAGCAGGAGAGAGATGGAGGCAGATGCGGGGTGTGGACAGAAAGATGGAGAAGAAACAAGTGATATGAATAAAGGTGGTGAGACAGAGACATGAGAAATGAGGGAGAGATAAGAATAGGGTGTTTGGCCCACAGAAGTCACTTATTGAAAGCATCACTAAGCCATATGCAATGGCACACACCTATTGTTTTAGCTATTTGAAAGAGGAGTTTGAGGTCAGTCTGTATCACAGATCAAGGCTATCTCTCAAAAAAAAAAAWAAAGAAGAAGTAAATATAAATGAACATATCCCAATAAAAGTGTTGCTGAATAAATGAATGGACTTTGTTGCTCAGCAAAGAAGGAGTGGAAAGACTACTGAGCAGAATGTACATTATTTATCAGAGAAAAAATTGTACTGGTTTCATCCAAGATGACAAAGGCCTTAATCAGCAGTGGGAATGAAGAGGTGGGGAAAGGTACCTGATATATTTCAGAGGCAGCATGGAGAGGACTTGGAAGATTGTTTGGATGGAGGAACTGAGGGAGAAGGCATAGTAGGATCAATTCCAGGTTTGGGACCTTAAATGCCTGGGTGGATAGCTTCCACTCATTGAGACAGGGATTTTAGGAGGCTGACATGATTTGGGTAGACACTGATGATTTTGAAATGCCTATCGAACATTTAGGAGGACAGACAAATATTCTGGGCTTAGTCTCAAGAAAGACGCTGAAGGTAGAAATATAGATTGGGGACTCAGAGAATAAGCAGCAATTAAAACTGTGGCTATGGATCCTTTTATGATTCATAAATATGATGGTTGGGTTTTCACACTATTGTGTGAGATGTGCTATTCTGAAATCCTATTATGATATTGGCACATGAACCACCTGATGTAAAAGAGAAACTTTCTGTGAACCCATTGCATTTGCTCCAAATTTGTTGAATGAAAATGGGAGAAACAATACAAAAGTTCTGCAACAGGAGGATGGTGTAAAGGTACAGGAGTGTGTGTAAGGTACAGGAATTTGGGGGTTTCCCTGGTGACAAGCTCTAAGATATAAGTCATACAGAGTCAAGCTGATGGTTGGAGTAGAGGAAGTGAAGCAACTGTGAAGTTAAGGATAAATCAATGGTTGCTTCTGGGAGGGGATATGGATTGACCAGAAAGGGGAATGGGGAATTTGCTGGGCTTTTGGGAACTGCAGCGTGGTTTACATGGGCATATATATTTGTCAAGGGTCATCAAACTCTTCATTTAAATCTATGCTGTATTAATGTTAAAAATGTCGTTTTTGTGGGCATTAAGTCCACTAATAGGAAGATGAAAAGTCAGGTGAAGCTCTTTAAAAAAATTTTTTTGATACTGGGAATTGAACCCACGGGTGTTTTACCACTGAATCACATTCCCAGGCCCTCCCCACATTTTTATACTGGGGATTGAACTCAGAGGCTCACTGAGACACATTCCCAGCCCTAGTTTGTATTTTATTTAGAGACAGAGTCTCACTAAGTTGCTCAGTGCTCTGAGGTTGCTAAGGCGAGCTTTGAATTCTCAATCCTCCAGCCTCAGCCTCCAGAGCTGCTGGGATTACAGGTGTGCACCACCTCACCAGGCTCAAGTGCAACTCTTTATGAACGTGAGGGAGTTCTGCAATAGGAGGATGGTGTGAAGATACAGGAGTGTGTGTAAAGTACAGGAATATGGGGGGACTCAGGCCTGAGGGATGCTGACAGCCAAAAGGCAAGACCGAAAGTGGTAGAATCAGATGCTGTGAACCTTGAAGAGAAGCTTTTTCAGGCGTAGAAAGTGTGACAATCTGAGAGCCATTCATTAGCTGACAATCATTGACAGGAACTTAGCCAGAGGAAATTCACCCCTGCCCATCCTCCAACCAGGCCACAGCTGTTTTTTCTTTCTTTCTTTCTTTCTTTCTTTCTTTCTTTCTTTCTTTCTTTCTTTCTTTCTTTCTTTCTTTTTTTTTTTTTTTTGCCGTGCTAAATCTCAAACCCAGGGCATGCCAGGAAATCACTCTACCACTAAGTCAGATCTCAGCAAGAGTTTTCTTTTGAAAAATTCCATCCTTGTGTCCACCAAGTGGATTAACCTAGTAGTTCCCATCCTGCAGGTTACACTTCCCTACAAGTTCTCAGAGTTATTTGAAGGGGTCCTCAAATCCTTACACATAACGGGATTTATTCTAAATGAACTAAAGAAAAAAAACCCTAAGTACTGTATTTAGAATCCACAGCATTCCAAGCTATAATGAATGGTTTGGAGGTCTTGGGTAGAGAGAAGGACATCCTTGAGTTCAGTCTCAGCAATAACCCTGATCACCTTATCCCAGGACTGGGGAAATCTGAATCACTGTACACTGAACATCTGATGCAGAGGGATCTGGGAGTTTACAGGAGAGACTCCCATTTTACAGATATGTAAGTAGTGGAACTGGGACTCCAACTTAGCCTGACTCGGCTTCTAAGCCACATGGACCTGGGACATGGAATACTTCCACATGTGAGTATCTGGTGGCCCATTCCATGTCCCCACTAGTGTTGACCTTGCCTTGCTCCCCAAACTGTGGCTTTCTCACAGTTGAAGTAGAAGAGATAATTTTCTCCACATTGACTTTTTGGGGTGGGTTTGGGGGTTGATAGAAGGAGACAAAGTAAGGGACAGGGAAGAAACTGGAAATGAGGCCCAGAGGAGTAAAACCACCATGAAGTCTCACGTCTCTCATGCCCTGTGACCAGCAGGGGGCAGCTCTTGCCTTGCTAAGGCATCTCAGTCCCACATGGTCCAGTTCCATGCCCTGGGAGGTGGCTTTTCCATTGCTGAACAATGACTGACTCCATACTTCTCAGACTCTGTGGCATGTGTGGTTGTCCAGGTGGCTCAGGGAGGTTAAACTATGTGTTCAAGATTATGTTACTAGTTTGTGAGGGAGCTGGCATTTGAACCCAGCCTGTTCCAAGCCAGCATTTTTACCCCTGAGGTTACTGCTTCTCTAAAAGAAAGCTCTGAGTTGCAGTGATAGGTGGCAACATATCTAAGAACACATTTCAAAATAGAACTAGAAATAGGGGCTGTGGGTATAGCTCAGTTGGTAAGAGTGCTTGACTCACATGTACGAGGCCCTGGGTTCAATACCCAGCACCAATCAATCAATACATGCTTACAGTTTAAAAAGGTTCCACCTGGCATATTACATGTAATGCTTGTTTTCTGTATGCTGTGTTATGTGCAGTATACATAACCAGGTGTGTGGCATACTCTTGTACTAATCCCTATATAAACTCAAAGTTATGTGTAATGTGATGTGTCTTTCATTTGTGTCTGTAAAATACAGAGTGGATTTCCCAGTGGGTAAGCCTGTATAGAAGGCAGATAAACAGACCTCCAGTAGGAGTGGATTCCTGTAATGGAGATCTGAATATGAATGAGTCCAAACTCCATCAGCAGCACTCACTCCTCTGCCAAACCACCCAATCAACACTATCAGAGTAAAACAGGCTATGTAAATGTAGCTTCTCCACAAAGTCCCTGGTGCCCGCCTCCTATCATCAATCAGCTTGCTTCTCTAATCCTCTCATTTATAGAAATCCTAGGGCAGTCCTGGGGGGAAGGGGGAGGGCCAGAGTTCAGGGAAGGAATTGGGGGCAATGATGGGCTTGGGCAAACTTGAGCAAGGGGGAGGGGAAGGAGGTTAGCTTTGGGGCCCAGTAGGGCTGCTGGAGGCTTATTCTGAGTAAAGGGTTGGTCTTCTTGAACCTCAGAAGCCGAGGGAACCACATCCTGGTCTCACCCATCCTTGGGCTACCAGCCATCTAAGCTCCGCCCTGCTCCTTGCATGTGGGCCAAGTGCCCCACCTCCCAGAGTTCCAGACATCTTCAGCAGCAGCATCTTCTTTCCTCAGGGAGGCATGCATTTGGTACCCAAGGTCCCAGGCAGTCAGGTCCTTAGCAAGTGATGCGTGAGTTCTGTTTGTCCTAAAAAGCTTTCTACCCCCCATCTGGTGACCAAAGATCTGACCACAAGTGATTGAGGACCTCTACCCAGGTTCTCCTCAACAACTGGAACATCCTTCAACATGGCCTGGATGCTATTGCTCATCTTTATTATGGTCTATCCAAATGACATGGTATTTGCTCAGGACCCTTAGGGGTGTGGGGCTGGGAGGAGGAGGCTAGGGGGAGGCTGGACTTAGATACCCTAGGGGAGCAAGCTTGGTAGGGCTGAACCTTGTGCCCTGAGGGGAGCTGTGGGCACTTCCCCTCACCTCTGTTAGCTGATGCCAGTAGACAGTAGGTTCACAGCCCCTCCAGGTCTCTGGCTTACTGCAAGTGTTATTCTAAATTTCCATGCCAGAGACCTTTTCTTCTCAGTTACCTTCCTAGTAAGATAAAGTTGAAAGAACCAGTAAAAAACGGCTGCAAGGAAAGAAGGAAGGAAAGGACCAGAATTTTGGTTTGTCTTTTTTGTAGGATTTTCATTTGATGTTTAAGAAGTGTATTAATCTAGGCTTATTAGCTAGGATCTGGATATATAATTAGGAGTTCAGGAGTCCTAATTAAGTCTAACATACTTTTTTTTTTTTTAGTGAAACCTATTTTAATTAACAGAGATTGCTTAACTATCAGGCATATTAGTTAACTAAATACAGGGCTTCTTAGGTGTAGATTCTATTCTCAGCTTCAGCCACCTGGGAACCTAAGGCAAATTCTTAGGCCTCTGTCCAGACTCTAGGGGCCAACCAAGGAATCTGTTTCAACAAAGACTTTGGCGTGTGTGTGTGTGTGTATGTGTGTGTGTGTGCATGCGTTGTAGTCCCAATTACTCAGGAGGCTGAATGGGGAGGATCCCTTGAGCCCAGGGATTTAAGGCCAGCCTAGGCAATAGAGTGAAATTCAGCTCAAGGGGGAAAAAAAAAAGTACAAACAGGTAATTTAGGGGAATTCCCATACACAGTCAGGTTTGAGAATCACTGAAATAGAATGATGGGGGAAATTTTTCCCTAATTAGATAATTTAATTGGAGATTTTAATAATTGATTTAATTAATCAATATGGACAAGTTCAATGAGGATTTCAACCAATCTCAGCTATGTCTTCACCTGGAAATTTAATTAGTTAATGCTCTAACAAAAAACATAGCAAAGATGGTTTACTATTATGGAATGTTATTAGTACTAAAGTAATTCCTGAAATAATATCATGATGATATTAGTTAGCTAGGCAGCCACATCCAATACTGAGTTGCAATTGCACCATGGTAGCATAAATTCAGCAAGACAAGTCCTTTGTGAAGGCAGTTGGAGAGGGTGAGGGTGAGAATTGGAATGGGAAAGACTTTGAAAAATGATTTAATAAACAATGTTAAGAAATTAAATTAGTGGGGTGCGGTGGTGCACACCTGTAATCCCAGCGGCTCCGGAGGTGAAGGCAGGAGGATCACAAGTTCAAAGCCAGCCTCAGCAATTTAGCAAGGTGCTAAGCAACTCAGTGAGACCCTGTCTCTAAATAAAATACAAAATAGGTCTGGGGGTGTGGTTCAGTGGACGAGTGCCCCTGAGTTCAATCCCCGGTACCCCCATCCCCTAAAAAAGGAATTAGTAAACCAGTAAAGAGGGAAAGATTTAATGAGACACCCAAAGCATGTGTCTGTGTGCCTTACAAAGAGGGACAGTTGGGATATTCACTCCAAGCTCTTTTCTCTTGGAGAAACTAGAGAGGCATCTCTGGATTTTCTCTCTGTCCCCAGGATCCTGTATTCTCTGGGTGTTCTCTGCAGCCCTCCCGCCCTGCTCCTACAATGCCAGCAGAGGGAGACCAGCCATTGGCTCTGTCACATGGTACCAAGACAAGGTGGCCCCTGCGAAGGAAGTGAAGAACAGAACCCCATAGTTCAGAGACCGCCTGGTTCCCCTTTCTTTTTCCCAATTCCTCTGTGACCACCAGGCTGAGCTGCACATCTAGGACACCAAGGCCAAGATGCTGGCGTCTATGTGTGCAGGGTGGAGGTGTTGGGCCTGGATGTTGGCACAGGCAATAGGACTCAGCTGCTGGCAGAGACAGTAAGGCATGGGGAGGCAGGACCTCCTTGACTGGAATGTCCCTGGAAATCAGGAATCCTCCCCCTGCCCTTGTTAACTAAGCCCCTTCCTCTCCACTGCCCTCATGCAGGACCTCATGGGCTAAAGATAAGCACAGTGTTCCTCCTTCAGGCTGGATTCTATGCCTTTGGTTTTCTCTCCATGGCAGCACCCTCTCTTACCAGAGCAAATGTGAGTATGGAGCCTGGAGCAATGATGGAGGGATAGGAGGGGCAGTAAGAACTGGAGGAGGAAAGGACATACGTTATGAAGAGGAGAGCTTCAGTGTTGGGGCACTGAATGGCTCCTTTCATCTCTCCCACCAGGCCACTATCACATGGGGACATGCTACCATTCCTTGGGTGGCCTCTGAGGAATGATTCCAGATCCTAGTGATCTCTGACCCTTTTCAAGAGACCCCAATATATCCTTCTCTGCCCCATAACTACCTCCTCCTTTAGAGTCTTGTATATTTTCTTCTTAGTTTTCCAGATGCCCAAATCTGCTCCCCCTGGTTCTTAACTCTCTTCCCCTTAGGTCTGACCTGGACAGGTCCAAGGAGAGATCTCCCTGCAATAGGGCCTAGAGGTCCCTCCCAGCATTATCTGGAGCTTGTCCCAGCATTATCTGGAGTCTTAGCCAGGGAGGCTGAGACTGTGGCTCCTGAGAAATGGAGATTATCAAATTAATTATTCCTACTTGTCAATTGCTGATTTCAGCCAGACCCACAGACAATTTTCTGCTCCCAGGGAAGTTCAGTTCCTTAATACTTTTTTTTTTTTACCCAATATTTATGACTTGACCCCAAAAAGAGTAGGAGCAAGCTACTTAAATCTGGATTGTTCTAATTTGGAATAGTGGTTCGAGATGGATTGAGAGGCTTGAGACACAGAAGTGGCAAGATTATGGTCTTTACTGAGTGAACCACAGGATGATCCTGACCACCCGCCTGGGGTGAGGGAGGTGTCTGGGGGTACTCAGGTGGGTTTGTTCTTGGCAATGCAGGCGTAGTCAGTGCTGTGGTCCTCCTTCATGCCTTCTGCTTCTCCTTCGACCTGATCACTGCCCAATATGGGTAACCTTTGCAGAGAGGCATAGTGGAGCTCTTGGTCTGGAAGGTGGTCCTGGCCAGGTAGGAGATGCTGATGGAAGGGTGCTGGGAGCAGTACCCTCAGATCCTTCCCTGAGTACTGCCCTCAGCTCCCATCTTTCTTACCTCACTGATGCCTCAGTTTTCCTTTTTCTCTCTGAAGTTTCTCTCTTCCTCTCATTCTCCCTGTCCCCATCTTTCTCTCTCTGCTGACCTACACTCCTATTCTTTTTTTGGTCCTGGGGATCAAACCCAGGGCCTCGTACATGCAAGGCGAGCACTGAGCTATATCCCCAGCCCTGCTGTTCTTTTCTATTATTGCTGTTTCTCTTTGTGTCTCTCCATCTCTTGCTCCCCTCTGCCACCCCCCCCATCCACCCATGCACACTTTTATTCCTACTCTCTTACTTTTTCCTTTTCTCTCATTTTCTGGGTCTCTTTTAATTTCTCTCTCATTTTTCATCTCTTTGTCTCTCTCATTCCATTCTCTTTCAATCTTATTTTCTCTGATCTTCATACCATTTCTTTTTCTCTCTTCTTCTCAATTTCTTCTCTTTTTGCCTTTCTCTGACTTTCTCATGTTTCCACTGTCTCCCCTCTTTACTCTTGGCCCCCACCCCTCACTTCAGCCCCCTGCACCCCCTTATCCCCCAACCCTGCTTGGGCTCTCTCTGACCCTCCCCTCCCTGCCCCAGACTCACCCATCTTCTCTCCAATCTTTTCACTGGAAGAAAAGAAGCAACTCAGCAAAGCCTTCCTCACTAGCTCTGCACCATCCCAGCAGTAGTTTCCTCCCTTATAGATTCTGGTGGTTTCCAGGGACAAAGCCCTGCCCCCCACTTTTTCTTTTCTGCATTGCTCGGGAGAGAACCCAGGGTCTTGCACATAGGAAACAAATGCTTTATCACTAAGCTACATCCCCAGCTCAGCGCTGGCCCTTTGCATRTTCTTCTCTCACCTTTCCCACCCAACTCCCACCAGTCAGGACCTGTCAGGATTGATGGAGACTTTGGCCTCAGCAGTAGGAAGGGTGTRGGTGGGCACTGCTATAGGTGACTGAGGAAATGAAGCTAGGGCTCACCTCTCCGACGGAGCAGACAGAGGCAGGTGAACAGAGTGACCACAAGCAAGAGCAGGAGCCCTCCCAGGCCCAACACCCCATAGTGGAAGAAAGGGCACCCTGTAGGGAAGAGGGGTAAGTATTAGAGGGTCTATTTCTCTCTTCAGCTTTCACATCCTCCTGGTTGGTTGTGGGCATCTCAATTTCCCTATCAGTTTTAGAGGCGGAAAAATATACTCTTAAAGATTTTTCACCCTAGACCTCATTATCTCACTTCCTACCAGAGTTATGCATCCCTTATCAGTTACCTTGCCTCATATCTGGGACCGCTCACCCCTGTGGCTTCCCACCACAGTCCCTGCTAATCCAGGACCTCTGTGGGGTCTCTTTCCCACCCACACCTGTGGTCCTTGGGAGCCTGGATCACCTACAGTAAACCATCCATATCTSTTTTCACCCATTACTCCCTGCACACCCACAACCCTCCCTGTACAGAAGAGAAGGGCCCCTTACTCACAGTTGAATGAACACATTAGGTTGAGGACTGAGAACTGGCCTGGAGATCAAGAAGCCTAGCCAGTGTTCTGACAGTCTTAATGACCTGGGCTAGTCACGTGCCTCAAGTTCCTTATCTGTGAAACAAGGGGCCCTGTGTTACAATCTTTTCCCTAGCTGAGGAGCCTCACCTATGTCCTAACCCTGAGACGGGCATTTTCCACTTGTTCCCACAGATCCTGAGAGTAGAGGGTAATATAGTATCCATTTATTTCCCAGGTCTAAGGAGTCTGAGTCTCAAGCATGGACTTTTACAGAGATATCTAGTCAGAAGTGGGTAGAGCTGGGGTTTGAGTTCTAGCCAACTCCAGAGCCCCCCACCTCCCTTCCCTCTGACCAAGGCTGGCCAGGTGGTTTAGAGGGGCCTCTCCAGCACTGGGTAGTTCTAGGAACTGGTGAGAGGGATGATGGAGGGAGAGGAGCCTGGAACTAGAGTGGGTGTGGGGGCTGTAGAAAAGTAGAGAGAAAAGTGTCCAGAGCCTCTCAGCTACTGTGGCCCAGTAGAACAGGTCTCTACTTGGCTGATACGGTGAACTGGGGCGTGGAAGAATTTCTGGGGCCCACAACTTCCCCTCAGGCACTTCCTGCACTCCGACCACTGGTTCCTGTTTGAGGACAAAGAGGGGACTACTGACTTCACACCAAAGCCAGATGTACTGACTATGGTCTAAAACCAAGACTCTCCTGGGTTTAAGAGGAATTAGTTAGGGTGCGTGTGGGAAACAGAAGCCTGAGATGGCCATGAGGATGGTGGGAACAGAAATGGATTGTTTTTCATTTCCTTGGTCATCAGAGACTCAGGCTGGACAGAGGATTTCTTTAGGGCCTAGGGAATATCAAATATGTGCTTCTGACTCCCTTCTTCTTAACCTTACCTCACTCTGGGGTGTGACCATTCTTACCCTAACCCCACAATTTCCCGGATGAGGGTCTCTACCTATTTCCAGCTTACCCTGAAGGGTGGATACATTGGCTAGAGACCCCTAGGTAGAAAGGAGAGTGGCCATCTCAGACATTCCTGCCCCTTCTCTGGTCTTAACCACCCCCAACACAACTTTCCCAGCATTATTAGGAGAGGAAGTACATCTCTGAGATCTAGGATTACAACATCTTTCCTTCAAGGTTCCCAGGCTGCGGGCAGTGAATAGGTCCCTCTCAACTCCAGTCATACTATTGATTATGCTAGTAGTCAGTGAATGTCCCCCTCCTCTAGAGGCCTTACCTAATTAACTTGTTCCCAGTTACCTTYCACTCTGCATCTGCTGAGAGCGCATGATCTCGGTTTATGCATGAGAACACACACAGCCTGGCTTTTACATTGGACAGAACTCTGATGACTTTAGGGTGACACCTGGTATTCTATATCTACAGCCAAGAATCCAGCAGTGTGCTTGACTGGTTGATTAATAAGCAGGACAATCAGAGGTACCCATACTGCTAATAGATGAAGGACAAAAAGTTGACAAGTTGTTGGCATAGGAGGTGGGGGTATCCAGGAAGACTTCCTGCAGGAGGCAACATTCTGGTGCTGAGCACAGAACTAAGGGCAGTGATCCAAGGCCCTCTGGTTAGAGACCTGGGCAAAGGACCCTTCATGATACTGTGATGGAGAGGATGAAGGATGATGGAGRATTGTACTCCTGGCCTTTGGGAAAGGTAAAGACTATGAAGCTTAAGTGAAGGCAAGAGGTGAGGAAGAGATCTGGTGCCTGTGTTTATATGTATTTGCATTTTGTTTTCCAAATTCAGGAACTTTGTAATTGGACATGGTGCATGCCTGTAACCCCAGCCACTCAGGAGGCTAAGGCAGCAGGATCACAAGTTTAAGGCCAGCCCCAGTAACTTAGCAAGATCTTATCTCAAAAAAAGAAAAAAAAAAAAAACAACTAGGGGTGTAGCTCAGTGGTAAAGCACCCCTGGGTTAAATCCCCAGTACTGCCAGAAAAAAAAAAAAAAAAAGACTGTCTCAAAATGAAGTAAAAAGGGGTGGGATGTAAGCATGTATAAGACCTTAGGTTCAATCTCCAGTACCACAAAAAAATAAATAAAAATTCAGGAACTTTCTGCTACTTCTTACCACCACACCATCCTTAATGTTCCCCCTGCAGAACAYTAGGACAATATTCAGGTATGTTTGTTTATTTTATATATTTTTTTAAAGTTCAAATGAAGAGAAAATTTGAAAGAATTACACAGCAAATATATCCTTACCACCCAGATTCTACAGTTAAGAGTTTTCTATATTTTCTTTCATTATTTTTGGTAATAGGGATTAAAACCAGGGGCACTTAAAAACAGAGTCATATCCCTAGCCATTTTTATATTTTTATTTTGAGATAGCGTCTTGCCAAATTGCTGAAGTTGGCTTTGAACTTGGGATCCTTCTGCCTCAGCTTCCTGAATCACTGGGATTACCGATGTGTGCCATTGCATCTGGCCTGTATTTTTTTTTAATACTTATTTTTTAGGTGTAGATGGACACAACACAATGCCTTTATTTTTATATGATGCTGAGGATCGAACCTGGGTCCCACCTGTGCTAGGGGAGCGCTCTACYGCTGAGCCACAATCCCAGCCCTGGCCTGTATTTTCTTTATCACACATTTATCTTGTGTCTTGTATCTTTTGAAGTTGCAAATGTTAGGACATGTCACCTCTAAACCCCATAGTGTGCTGATCACTGACTCAAGTTGAGTATATTTCTCCATTTCTTTTTTATTTGCCTGAGGAAGACAAAATTTACATATAGTAAAATGCACAAATTTGAAATGCACAAATTTTTTTGGGGGGGAATCTAACTTAGGGCCTCACACATGCTGGGCAAGTATTCTCCCAATGAGCTACAAGCCCAGACTGTCCATAAGTTTCTTAGCTAACCTCTCTGTGCCTCAGTTTCTACTTAGGTTTTTATCAAGATTGAAATAATTATTATAAATAAAGTATGTAGATTGGTGTCTCACACGTGCTCAATGTTATTTGTGTATTAGCTATATTATTATTATTATTATTATTAGTGTTACTACTACTATTATTTTTTGTGTGTGTGGTGCTGGGGAATCAAACCCAGGGCCTTGTGCATGGGAAGCAAGGACTCTATTAACTGAGCTATATCCCCAGTCCTACTACTACTATTATTATTGTTATTATCCTAACACAGAGAGATGTCATTAAGAAGTAGAGATGATCTGGGGCCATCTGAAACTTCCTCGGACCTGATCTTTTTTCCCTCAACTCTTTCCCACTGCCTGCTTCTTCCATTCATCTGGTCCTTCCTATTTTGTTTTGCTTATTCATTCATTTTTCCTTTCATTCATCTATTCATGCATATTTAGTAAGCATGTACTAATAGATGGAGCTCATTCTAGACTAAAGCTCTCTAAGGTGGGAGTGTGCCTCATCATTCTCTGGTCCTTGATCTTTATAGCAAGGGAGGTAATACTGTATTCCTATCTCTCTTCAGCAAGTCAGCAGTCATTGGTGAGGCTGAGGCCTGCTTCAACTGCCATTGCTGTGAACTGGCTTAACTTTGCCTTTCCCACCTACTGCTAGGAGGATAGGAGTGAGCAAGGGAATGAAGAGGTCAGCCCATGTGTGTATATAGGTTTATTTCAGGAAATCAGACATGCATCCCTCAAGACCCCAGTTCTTGTCCTCCTACTCCAGCCCTTTACTTCAGGAAAGGGTTTGCAGCGCTCTTCTAGCACCCATCTCTGAGGTACAGGAGAATGCAAAAGACATTGGAGAGAGTTCTGTATTGTCATTACAGTCTTGCTATCTGACTTTCTGCAATCTTCCTTTTCTCTCTGGGCCTCAATTTCCCTGTGAGCCAGAGTGAAAAGCCCCTCCAGCTCTACTTTGAGACTGTCTCTCTACCCCAACTCCTTCCCCAGTTCAGAGAACCCAGGCATCCAGCTGCCCCACCCAAGCTCTGGGTAAACAGGAAGCTGGGTGAGGGGAGCAGGGGTGTGCGGAAAGTCCCAGCCAGGTGTGTGGGTCTATAGGGAGGGGGTGGCCCCACCCCTGAGGTATGAAAGCCCCCCTGTTCTGGTCCTGGTTCAGAGTCTGGATGGGAGCACTGGGGCTGCAGGGCCGGGGTGGGAGGCCCCAGGGAACGGGCTGCCTCCTGCTGGCTGTGGCAGGAGCCACTTCGCTGGTGACCCTGCTGCTGGCAGTGCCTATCACTGTCCTGGCTGTGCTGGCCTTGGTGCCCCAGGAGCAGGGAGGACTGGTGAGTGGCTGCAACAGACCTTAAAGGGCTGCATCTTGCTGATGATGCTCATTGACCTCTGGCTATTACTGGGGTCTTTTGCATACCTGGCTCAACTGACTGGCTGTCTCTGGTGGAAATGTTATGTCTGTCTTTTTGCTGAATGTTTCCATGTTCCTGTACCGCTACTGTCTTGATGTTCCAAGTCCCTTCCTGGTTGTCTATTTCTCTCCTCACCTCTTCCCAAGACACACACAGACACATCTCTCTGCCCAAATACATATGTCTTGCTTGCTCTCCCTTCCAGGGAGATGTGTATTGGGGATGGTGCTGGAAACCCAGCCTGGGGTTTGGGTCCATGGTTGGAGGGGTGCAGTTGGCATCAGATGAATCTGAACTCTGGACATGGTTACCTTACCCAACCAGGTAATGGAGTCCGCAGGCCTGGGAGCACAAGCCCAGCAAGGACAGAGTAAGAGCAATGGACTCCCTTCCCGTCTGCATTCCCAGATACCCTCTTCCTCCAAGAATCCATTCCTGCGCCCTGGCGCCCTGTCCTCTCGTGGGAAGCATCCATGGGTGGCCACCCTGCCCCCAATTGTGGCCTCTACACCAGTTCCAGGGTTTCAGCAGCTGCAGGAAGAGAAGCCAGAAACAGATCTCAGTTCCAGGCTCCCGGCTGCCCACCTTATTGGTAAGGCTGTGGTCGACCTGAATATGCATTCAAATAGTCCAAGAGTGCCAATTTTTGTGGAGTCCCTCCATTCTGCGATTCCAGTGCTGGATTTCCCACCCCTTCCACCACCTCTTGCCCCTAAAGTGCCCATCCTTCCACTAATTCCCCTTTCTTGCTGCTTCCCGGAGCAGACAAAACTCAGCCTAGATCTTACCACAGCCCTCCGCACCCCACAACCCGGTGCCCTCAGGCCCCAGCTTGGATTCRTTCCAAACATAGCCTCGCTGCCCCCGCCCCTCCAGGAGTCGCGCCCCGCCCCCTCCTGCCTACCCTCCCTGAAGTCCGGTCCTGAAGCGGTGCTCTCAGCACCAGTTCCCGGAGAATCCACCCCCCCGAGAATCCATCCACCCGTCTTTCTGCAGGCGCGTGGATGAAGGGACAGGGGCTAAGCTGGGAGGCGAAGAAAGAAGAAGCGTTTCTAAGGAGCGGGACGCAGTTCTCTGGCGCCGAGGGGCTGGCCCTCCCGCAGGACGGCCTCTATTACCTCTACTGTAACGTCGGCTACCGGGGTCGGGCGCCGCCTTCCGGCGGGGGCCCTCACGATCGCTCCGTCACGCTGCGCAGCTCGTTGTATCGGGCTGGTGGCGCCTACGGTCGGGGCGCTCCCGAGCTGCTGCTGGAGGGCGCCGAAACCGTGACTCCAGTATTGGACCGTGCCGGGAGGCCACAGTACAGACCCCTCTGGTACACGAGCGTGGGGTTCGGCGGCCTGGTGCAGCTCCGGAGGGGCGAGAGGGTGTACGTCAACATCAGTCACCCCGATATGGTGGACTATAGGAGAGGGAAGACCTTCTTTGGGGCCGTGATGGTAGGGTTGGTGCCCTCTGCGTCCCTAGGAAAATGTCTGCATAGTGCGAATGTATGAATCGACCCAGGGATTGGGGACCCAGACGCCCGGGATCCCAGGGCAGTAAGAAAAATATAGGAAACTGTTTAGAAACTGATTTTGAACCCGATGAAAATAAAGAATGTAAAGCTTTAGTGCCGTCAGTACGGAAGAGATGCCAATGCGTCTTAATTCATAGTGGTGCAATGTGTTGGTTAATTGTTTTTGTGTCTTTCTCGTTGCTCAAAACCATTCATAACACTGTGTGTGGCCTTTGCTCCCACTCTGTGTGGCCTGCCCTTCCCACTCACCCTACCTCTGAAGGCCAGACCCCAGCACGAGTCCAGTTGGAGGGTATAAGGAAGGGCCTCTTTAAACCTGAAGCATCGCCAAGCATCCTGGTTCTCAGGGCATGTTTAATCCCCACCAGGCTCTCACTATTCTCTTTTCCCTGGGGTCCCTTCCCACTCTGAGAGTAGTCATTACAGGGGAAAGCAAGCACCACTCAGAACGACCCAGCGGCAAGAGGGAACCCCTAGTATGGCTGAGGGGGGAAGCATCGAGGGCTCCAGCAGCTCTCCCCTCTGGCTGACTAAAGGTCCCTTTAGTCCCCAACCTATTCTTCTACATGGAGCAGTAATCAGGCTCCCGGGTGTGAAAGCAGGAGGCTACAGGAAGGAATGGAGGTTGTTTGGGAGGAGGAGAGCCTGTGGTGCCCCAGCCCAACAGGGAGAGCCTAGGGAGGAGGGGTGGAGGAGGAAACTGATGAAGATCCTGTGTTGGGTGGGATGGAAAGTATTCAACCTTTGTTCACACTTCGGGTCCTCCTTCCCCCAAATAGACAAGTATGGGTACCTTTGGGGTGAGTAACAGCAGTCTCCCCACACTATGACCGACTTTCAGCCGCAGCCTGGAGGAGGCAGAGGGGGACTCAAAGCCCTATCTAGGTCACCCCAGTGGGTCACCCCACCCCCGCAGAACATCACTTATTGGTTTTCCACCGCCTGGCTAMGCATCTGGACTGAAGGAAAACCCAACTTCTGAGCCTAGTGGAGGCCACTCTATGARGCTCTGTTTCCTATTCMGCCTCTATTCKGCCTCTATTACCTCTACTGTAACTCCATGTTCAGAAGAGCCTTCCTGTGGGGTTTGAGGGTGATAAGTATATTTTGCTTGGCCAAACTTTAGTCAGGTTTCTGAATCTTCTACTTTGCCTATTTGTATACTTCCTCATAAAATCCAGTTTTAGCCACAAACGCTGCTAAGTTGGTTTAGCACGAACCTACCACCTTCTTCCATGTCTGATCACTCTCAATATCTGGTCAAGTTCCTTATCTTCTATATTCCCAAGTGATGTCTAATTACCCTGGCCTGTCTCAGCAAATATCCTGTCAGATCTGCTTAACCAGAATTCCCCATCCCTGATTTGTATTTCCTTTTAGTTATTTTCCATCCACTGACCCTCACCCTGCTCCTTGGCTATCAATTCCCTCTTGCCCATGCTGTATTTGGAGTTTAGCCCAGTCTCTCTTCCTCACTCCAAGATTTCATTGCAGGGTATCACCATGGTCCTGAATAGTTGCCACCGCCTCCTCCTTCGCCTCCTCCTTCTCCTCCTCCTTTTGGAGCCTGGTACTGGGAATTGAACCCAGGGGTGCTTTACCATTGAGCTACATCCTCTTCACAATTTGTTTATTTATTTACTTATTTATTTTTGAGACATGGTATCACTAAGTAGCTTAGGGCCTTACTAAGTAGCTCAGGGCCTTGATAAGTTGCTGAGGCTGGTCTTGAACTTGCAATTCTCCTGCCTCATCCTCCTAAATCAGGATTACAGGTATGACCCACCACACCCAGCTCTGAATAGTCTTTCCTACCATGCTTTACCAAGTACCATTGAGTAATGTGAATGTGTGTGTGTGTGTGTGTGTATGTGAGTGTGTATTGTGTTGAGGATGGAACCCAGGACTTGCATATTCCATTGAGTAATTTTTTTTTCTTTAACAGAGGTTCTTTTCTCTTTCCAATTCACTCCCTTCGTGCCYGACCCCTCATCATTCACTAAAAAGATCAATGAGACCAAAGCTGGCAARTGGGTCCTTCACCAACATCTTATACCTTTTGGTGGTGGTGTGGGGGTATACTGGGGATTGAACTCAGAGGCACTCTACCACTGAGTCACATCCTCATCCCTATGTTGTATTTTATTTAGAGACAGGGTCTCACTGAGCTGCTTAGTGACTCTTTGTTGCTGAGGCTGGCTTTGAACTCGAAATCCTCTTGTCTCAGCCTCCTGAGTCGCTGAGATTATAGGCATGGGCATTGCTCCAGCCTTTTTGTTGTTGTTGTTTGGTGCTGGGGGTTTAATTCAGGGCTTTGCACCTGCTAAGCATGCACTCTATCACTGAGCTATATCCCTTGCTTTTAGTCTTTGATTTTTAATTTTAGTTGGCTTTTCCAATTTTACCCACTGAAGAATGAATGGATAAAGGAAGTAAGGCAGCATTTAYTGAGTGGCTATCATGCCAAGTACTGAGCTGGGTCTGATGGAAGTTGGGCCTTTTTTTTTTCATGTGCCCTTCAGGCAGTGGCAGGTGAGGTTGACTGGTTTAGGTTGCACAGTTAGCACAGGGTTTGGGGGAAGGTGGTTGGGATGGAGTGATTTGGAGCCCAGACACCTGAATCTTTGGAAGTCCCTTGGCTGTGATTCAGGTACCTGAGAATGTGGCTCCTCCCCAGCTCTCTCAGGCCACAACAGCCGGAAAGAGTAGCAGGATTTTCCCAGCAAGTACTTGGAATTCCCAGAGTGGGAAATTCCCATGCCCTGAGGGACAGGTAATTAGGTTCAAGCTCCAGTTTCCTGGAGGAGGGAGGCTATTCAGCTGGGCTTTGTTACATAGTATCTCCTGGACCCCAAGAATCTAAGTACTGGGGTCTGTCTGTGTCCAGGCATCTTTTTTTTTAATTTTATTTTTTTAAGAGAGAGAGAGGGAATCATTTTTAAATATTTATTTTTTAGTTTTCGGAGGACACAACATCTTTGTTTGTATGTGGTGCTGAGCCACATCCCCAGCCCGTGTCCACGCATCTTAAGCTCTGCAGAGAGAAGACTTCAGAGAGTGGGCTCCTACCCCCAGGGAGAGACAGATGCAAAATTGACTCCGAGAGAGATCATGTTTCTTTTCTAAGCAATCTTTATTTCTATTTCTCGCCACTGCGATTACAGACACAGCTCCCCTAGGGAGCAGAGGTTCAGCGATGTAGCAACAGTAGGTCACCAAATCAGTATTATTAAAACATCTGGATTAGATAAATATTTTGTTTAAAACATAAGCAAAAGGAGGCAAAGAGGCCAGGAGGCCAGGTGGGAACAGCCTATAGTTCAGTTCCGTTTTCACAGAAAACATGTCTGGCCCAAGGCAGCTCCAACGTTGGGCCCCCAGGACACCCTGACCTTCTAAATAAATACATTCATCAGTAAATAAATAAATAATAAATAAGTAATAAATAATCATAAGTGCAACCATAAATAGAGGGGGCTGGACCTGTGGGAAGGGATAGGCTCCATATCTTAGGAGTCTGGAAGCATCTGAAGAGAGGAAGGCCTGAGGTCCACTCTTGTGAAGTGTTCGAGGTGAAGTCTTCTTAAAGAGTGTGCTGAACCAAAAGCTTCCTGATCCCCACATTTCAGATGTCCCAGGTTGAATTCAGGGATCAAAACCTGAGGGCCCCAGTGGTTTCTGGTAGTCTTGGTTTGAATTCTTGCTAGAGTGCCCCATCATCCAGGTCACACATCCCTTCATCCAAGTTTTCTGAGTGGTGTTGAAAGTTCTAAGATTGGGGTCTGACCCTAATTCCCTTTCTCAGCCAAAAAAGGACAAGGAGGCAGGGGCCGAGGGATTGTGGTAGGTGAAGGAGAGGAGGTGGATGGACATCCATCTCCCTCACAGAGCGATGACCCCAAAGTAGACCTGCCCGGACTCAGCAAAGTCGAGATAGCTGGGCAGGTTGACCTCAGCACTGAGTCGATCACCCTTCTGCAGCTCAAAGACCCCTCCCAGATAGATGGGTTCATACCAGGGCTTGAACTCAGCCCCCTCCAGGCTCTCCTTTGGGCAGGGGCTCTTGATGGCAGAGAGGAGGTTGACCTTGTCCTGATAAGAGACAGCAAATCGGCTGACAGTGTGGGTGAGGAGCACGTAGGAGGGGCAGCCTTGGCCCTTGAAGAGGACCTGGGAGTAGACGAGGTATAGCCCGTTTGCAGGCACCACCAGCTGGTTGTCTATCAGCTCCATGCCATTGGCCAGGAGGGCATTGGCACGACGACTTAGCCACACCAGCTGCTCCTTGTCTTCATTTTTTGCTAGAGGGAGGGAGAGGTGAGTCAGTATGACCCTGTGAGTTTACTTCACATCCTGGCCCTCAAGTTCTGCTCACCCCAACTTCCGGTTACTGTCCCCTCTGTTTTCACATCTCTTCTGGCCCTGAGTTTCTGAGTATCCATCACAAGGCCTTTCTGTTCCTCCACCCTCCTTCACACACTGTCTCCAGGGTCTTCTACTTTCAACCCACCAGTCCTATGCCTCCATGTATTATGTGCTCCTTCATCCCCAAGACACATGCTCAGAGTTCTTACCTACAACGTGGGCTACAGGCTTGTCATTCATGTTTTGAGAAGATGATCCTGAGGAAGAAAGAAAAGAAAAAGTTGAGCCCCCCAAACTTCTTTGAAAATCCCTGCCTACTTTGACCTCCATTCCTTCTCCCCAAAACCCAAAACTCTAAATTTCCCCCACTGTTTCCATCTCAGGATTAACACTCCTCCCTCCACCAGAATTAGGAAAGAAGTTTGGGAGATACTTACTGAGTGTGAGCATCTGGGCCTGGGGGCCGAGAGGGAGGTTATTCARGAACTGTGGGAGAAGGAAAAGATTTAGTACTCGAGGAATCAACCCAGAGGAGAATCAGCTGGCTGCTTATTCAGCTTGAGCTCTCTGCAACAAACATCTGGTTTCGTCTTTCCATTCATTCATTTATCCTTACATACATCCAACAGTGCCTTTTGTGGGCCAAATTTTTGCCTCTCCTTATTTCACTTTCCTTCAACTCTCTTCTTATATCTCTTTCCCTCAGTTCTCTCCTTATCTTTCACATCATCCACATCTCATTCTGTCTCATCACCTTACTCATATAACTTTCTTTTCTCCCATCTCTGCTCATGCTCCACATCTTTCTCCGGAACTCTTTATATATGTATATCTGCCTGCTCATTCATTCATTCATTCATTCATTCATTCATTTATTCATTGAACAAGTATTTGATTAGCATGTTTCTTGTGTCTTTCCACATCTCTTTCTGCTACCCTATCTTCTCTAGCCCTCCCTATCAGCACTCCTTTCTTCCCACCTCTCTCTTGTTCTCTTTCTCCCCTTTTTCTGTCTGGATGGAAGTGAAGTTTGGGGAGGCACTCACCTCTTCCCTCTGGGGGCCGATCACTCCAAAGTGCAGCAGGCAGAAGAGCGTAGTGGCTCCTGCCACAAGCAGGAAGGAGAAGAGGCTGAGGCACAGGCACCGTCTGGAGCCCTGGGGCCCCCATGCCTTCTTGGGGAGTGCCTCCTCGGCCAGCTCCACGTCCCGGATCATGCTTTCAGTGCTCATCGTGTCCTTTCCAGAGGAAAATGTGGAGCCCTGGATGTGGAGCAGTGTGTGTGTGAGAGGGAGAGAACCTGCCTGTCTGGTTGCCTCTCTGGGATTATTTTCAGGGGAGTTTGGAGTTGCTTCTCTCCCTCCTGGCTGGTCCCCTGGTGTCCTCGCTCAGGGAGCTTTTGCTGGCTGGGTGTGCAAACAGCTGCCTTTATAGCCCTTGGGGCAAGAGGAGGGCGGGGAAAGACTCTCGTTCAACCAGCGGAAAACTTCCTTGGTGGAGAAACCCATGAGCTCATCTAGAGGAAGCGGTAGTGGGCCCTATACATTCTGTCTCGGTTTCTTCTCCATCATGGGGGTGGGGGTTTGGAAAGTTGGGGATACCCAGGCATCAAGGATACTCCTCATCCTCCCCACCCGGATACTGTGGCAACCTTCTTGGGCCAGTTAACAAAGTGTGTGTGTGTGTGTGTGTGTGTGTGTGTGTGAGAGAGAGAGAGAGAGAGAGAGAAACAGACCCCCTGGAAGCTGGACCAGTTCCTCCTGACCCTTAATGTCTGTTGTCTCTATTTTTTGGAGGGCCAGCTCTGCTGCGGTCTTTCCCCTCTGATTTCTTTTTTTTTTTTTTCTTTTTGGTACTGAGGATTGAACCAAGGGTTGCTTAACCACTGAGTCACRTCCCCAGCCCTTTTTATATTTTATTTAGAGACAAGGTCTTGCTGAGTTGCTTAGTGCCTCCCTAAGTTGCTGAGGCTGGCTTTGAACTCATTATCCTCCTGCCTGAGTTTCCTGAGTCACTGGGATTATAGGCATGCACCACTGCACCAGGCTCCCCTCTGATTTCTAGACAGGACTCCTGAGAAGGAAGACATGAATTGGAGCTTCAGAGTGGGAAGGAATTGGGGTGGGGGGAGAGGCCAGAATAGTTTGAGATTGGGGGCACACATTGGCTTCTGGAAGGGGTTGGGAGGGGTAGCAGGGACAAGCCTGGGACAGCCCCAGAAGGAGTGAACTCTGACTTGGGAATTCACAAAACCCACGAGGGCCTTCTTCTCCTTTCATTCACGAACCCCAGGCCTTCTTCTTTCATTCTTATCTGGAATTCAAACTACTGGTTTCAGTCTTGCTTCCAAAGGACTTTGAAACCCCTGAATTTTTTTTTTTATTGAAGACTTCAGAGCTCTGATGTTGGCCATGTCTCTTCAGATGTCCACTATATTTCATACCTCTTAGTTCTGGAGGCTCTCCCACTCTTTAGGGCCCATGCATGGCCATGTCTTCCAGAGAATCCCCTTATTCCACCTCCCTAGATCTGGACATTCTCTCACCCTTTGGAATTGTAACTTCTCCCCAGAGGCCATCAGTGACCCCTGTTCCTAAGAATCCCTACATGTGGCCATAGCTCCCAGACACCCTCTGAATACCACCCCTAAGGACCTTGTCCTCCCCGCATCACCACCATTTTTCTTTCCAGTTTCTCCCTCAATTCCCCTGCAGCAATCAGGCTGCCTGGCCCCTGTGAACAGGCTACAAATCCCTGGAGCTCCTGGGCCCCTTTATCTCCTTGTCCTGCCAATAGCCCCTGACCCCTCTGAGACCTCTGTCTCTCCCTTCATTCCCTAGAGAGATCTAAGAAATTGTCCCCACTTCAGACAGACAGACATAAGCAGACAGCATTTCAGAGAAAAAAGAGGTTTATTTGGCTTTATCGAGGGAGCAGATGGCTCCTTGTGGGTATCTAGTCAGGCAGTGGCTGGCTTTTAGAGCCTTTCGCTTCCTYCTAGAGCCCCTCGGTCCCTTAGTCCTACTTTTCTCTCTAGGTGAGCTCTGAGCCGATGCCTTCTCWCTCTCCATCTCTGGGGCCTGTTCAACTCTCTCTTCTAATGCCTTCCTATTGTTCCCCTATCTCTATCCTCCATAAATAAATAACTTAATTTTCCCCTTCATAAATAGTCCCCCTTCCCTGCCTCTAGTCATCCACCCAGGCTGCCCCATGTGTCTACTCCTCTTCCATGTCCAGGTCAAGGCCCCACCTAGACCATTGGGACAGAAGAAGAGCTCTGTGTTGGGAATTTCTAGGCAGGCTTGAAATCTTCAGTAGAATATCCAGGGTGCTTCAGGGAACTGTGGTCCCTGGAGTGCCTGGAATTTCTTCTTTGAAAGCTTCAAGTGACTTGAGTGGGGAAGACACGAGGCGATGGTTGGAACGGGCACAGGAGAGGTGGTGGTGACCCTTGAAATGGTCAGAACGAAGGCAAAATGGAGAGAAGGATTTGAAACCAATTTCTTTTCTCTCTGGATCTTTCCAAGTCCTACAGAGCAAAAGCCCCAAAGAAGACRCTGCTGGGACTGAAGAGCAGGTGGGAGATACCATCTGTATGGGTGGACAACTGGTCTCCTTGGGTGAGCAGGAACACAGCCCCCTGGTATACTGAGCGCACCCAAGGTCCTTGTGGCCCTGGGCACACAGACTTCTGGGCGCTGAGGAGAGGCACATGGAAGGGGTACTGGGAGGAGAAGAGCTGAACCTCATGGGCGAGGTAGAGAGGGGTGGAGATGGCCTTGGAGGAGCAGCCTTCCCCGGAGAAAACCACCTGGGAGTAGACGAAGTAGAGGCCACTGGTGGGGACCAGGAGGGAATTGTTGCTCAAAGAGAAGCCATGGCGGAGGAAGGCACGGTCCGTGTTGGCTCTCCAGCGTAGAGAGTTCTGCATGCTAGGGTCTCCTAGGAAGAGCCACAGGAGGTGGGGGAGGAAGGGTCAAGGATCTACATTAGAGGTCTCCACCCTGAGGAAGCAAGTACTAAACAATTGAGTTTATAGGGGATGACTGGGAAGAAGGAGGAGTAGGCTCTGTCTTTAGTTGTAGGGGAAGCTGCAGGGAAAGATGGGGTGCTACTTGGGTCCCTAGATGGGGGTAGGAGGGRAGCGGGGGGCTGCATGTCTGGGAGGTTGGGTGGAACTTTACCAACAAGGTGAGCCGCAGGTTTGAGGGTGCCATGAGCAAAATGCTTCTGGGGGTGCTGCTGAGCAGCCCGGGCAGCTGAGGGCAGGAGGCCAACACCAGGGAGTCCCTAGGGGAGAACAGAATTGAGAGGGCTCTAGGGATCCAAGCTGGGCTGAGCCACCCCTGCAGCCCCAATTTTCCTACTGCCTCACCTTGGCCCTAGGTGGCAGCGCAAGTAGCAGCCCCAGAAGCAGGAAGAGGAGGCGGGTGCCACGCACCCTTGGGAGGTATAGACGTCCAGGTGGTGTCATGGGGAGAATCTGCAGGGAGAGAGAGAGTGAATGGGGCGGGGCACACAGAGGAAGACAGACCTCCTGCCTGCCTGCCCTGCAAAGACAACCACCCTGAGAGAGGATGACAGACAGAGAAGGGRACAAGACACAGGCAGGGAAATCCCAAGGTGAGCAGAGGGAGACATAAAAAYAAAGAGAGACAGGAAAGGAACAAAAGGAGATTGCTGCAGAAACAGAATGAGTGACAGGTCAGAGAGAAAGAGAATGACAGATGGAGAGATAGAAACCCGGAACAAACCAAAAGAAAACCCACCCCAACCAAGGCCCAGGCCCAGACAGGCTRGAGATCCAGGTGGGAGGTGCAGGAGGAGCCAGGGCTCAGGACCCAGGCAGAGGGGCAGCCCAAGGAGATGGAGCAGGAGAGTCCTACCTGGTGTGCAGGGCCCCTGGGCCAGGACGCTTGGGTCCCTTTATAGAGGAAGCGGCAGTGGCAGCGTGGCAGCCAGCGGGCGGGTTCTAGGCCGGGGCTGGGGCCTGGGGAAGCCCCCAGGGCTTAGAAGATGCTGCTGTTTCAGTCGAAGGCAGGAAAGGCTGAGGCCTATAAGAGAACCGCAGGCTGGGGGCTCAGGCAACTGAGTTCTGGGAAAGGGAGTGTGGTCAGGGGAACTGGGGGCCAGGACTGCCCAGGAGCAAGGTCAGACCTAGGAGTTCCAGAGAAAGGCAATTCGGGGAGAAGAAGGGGGAGCCACTGGGGTGTATGCTGGGGGCCTGGTTCCCTGAAGAGCTATCATTTATGACACCTCTGCACCCTCCGCAAATTACAGGCTTCTTTCTGCCCATTTCCTCCTCTTATCCCCAGTGCCCCCCACTGTCCTTGTCCCAAATGACTCAAGTCACACTTGTCCCAGGATGTATACTTTCCAGTCTTCTGGCAGGTGTCATATCAAGAAGTTCTATTATATAACCCCTGCCTGGAACATCCTCATGTGTACTCTTGTCCTAGTGAAAATATTAGTGGAGCCCCCTTACACACTCCAAACTGTCCTGGTTTGGAAGATGAGGTGGTTTTTTGTTTTGTTTTGTTTTAGAGAGAGAGAGAGTTTGAGAGAGAGAGAGAGAGAGAGAGAGAGAGAGAGAGAGAGAGAGAGAGAGAGTATTCTTTTTAATATTTATTTTTTTCGGTGGACATAACATCTTTATTTATTTTTATGTGGTACTGAGGATCGAACCCAGCGCCCCGCTCATTCCAGGCGAGCGCGTTTACCACTTGAGCCACATCCCCAGCCCAAGATGAGGTTTTTAATTTAATTTTAATTTTTTGTCCCATTACCCAGAGATGATGCTAGGCACTCATATATAATGAAGTCTCGACCCATTCTTGAAAGATGCCATCCATCTTGTGGCCACACGGATTAGATTTATATAACTCCAAATAAGCACACACATTTGACTCAATTTGGCCAACAACTTCCAAAGTTCTCTATAGGGGGAGCTTCAGAATTCCACATTGGCTAGGCTTATGGTAACAACCTAGGGTCAGGTGGGAATGGCTAAGGGATTTGTCTGGAACTTGCATTTGTGGTATCAATACACTGTTTTAAGGAGCTGGCACTGTAGCTCAGTGGTAGCATACTTGCCTAGCAAGTGTGAGGCCCTAGGTTTGATTCCCAAGCACTACAAAAAATTAAAATTAAATAAAAAATTAAAATAATCCAGGATTGTTTTCCACTTATTAATTTATTTTTTAGTACTAAGGATTTTTGAGCCCAATCATACTAAGTACCATGCTCTACAATTGAACCATACCACCAGCTGTTTTTCTTTTCTTAATGTTTAACAGTATACAATGAGGTGCTCCCCTCTGAAGTGTGCAGCTAATGAATGTTTCCATCAGTATATGGCCATGTAGTCACTACCCAGTTCCATTTTCCCAGGAGGTTCCCTTATGGCTTCTCCCAGTGCATATTCTCTAAAGACAATCACTCTCTGACCTCTAACACCATAGACTAGTTCTTTCTGCTTTCAGTTGCATATAAATGAAATCATACAGAACTTATTCATTTGTGTTTGGCTTCTTCCACTCCACATTTTATTTGTGAGATTCATTCATGTGGTAGCATATATCAGAGGTTTTCTTTTTGTTGTTATTGTGATACAATATTCTAATATATAAATATACTCTAATACATTGTGTGTGTGTGTGTGTGTGTGTGTGTGTGTGTGTGTGTGTGTGTGTTTGTATGTGGTGCTGGGGATAGAACCCAGGGTCTCACACATGTTAGGCAAGTCTCTACCACTGAGCCATAGCCCAGCCTTTCAGTTTCTTTTTTTTTTTTCTTCTTCTTCTTCTTCTTTTTTTTTGGTACTGGGGATTGAACCCAGGAGCACTCAACCAGTAAGCCACATCCCCAGCCCGTTTTTCATTTTTTATTTTGAGACAGGGTCTCCCTAATTTGCTCAGGGCCTCACTAAGTTGCTAAGACTGGCTTTGAACTTGTGATCCTTCTGCCTCAGTCTTCCAAGTGGCCTGGATTAAAGGCATGCGCCACCACACCTTGGTCAGTTTCTTTTTTTTTCTTCTTTGCCTCACTGGAACATAAGCTCCAGGAGTCCCAGTACCTTGTCTCACTTTTTGCCACTATTTGCCTAGGTCAAGGACCAGCACATAGTAGGCACTCAATAAATACCTATTAAATGAAGAAGGATAAATAATAAAGTAAATTGGACAAAGTTCAACTTTAGGTTTGTGGCTCAGATGGAACTTAGATTTAGAGTCAGATTTAAGTTTGAGGTTAGGAATGGGGATAAGTAAGTTTCAAGAGTAACCCTGGAAACAAGGTTGGGTTGCTTTAGAAGACAAATTTTATTTGGAGTTTTATTGATTGGGATGTGTTTGGATTTGAGGTTAGGGTTATCTTTGGGGTTAAGTTTGAGTTGTGATTGAGTTGGGTTGAGGTTGAAATTGGAATTAAACCCAAACTAGATTTTGAGGCTAAGTTTAAGTGGAAGGTTAATGTCATTTCAGCCTCATTTGGAGGCCCAGTGATTTCACTGGTACTCCACAGAGACCACTATAAAGGCTGTATTTCCCTGAGTTTGGGCACAAGACTCCAGTCATCAGCCTCCCACCCAGGGAAAGCCCCAAACCAACTGTTGGCTTCCCCAAGAAAGAAACTGAATTTCATACAACCTCTGAAACTGAGATTGAAACTAAGATTGGCATGTCTCAAGGAGCATCCTTCAGTACATTGCAAACTCCCGTGACACAGAGTCTCAGCCTAGTTCTTGCCCTTCCTTCCTCTCTGTCTCATGTCTTTTCATTCTCCTTGTCTTCTTCTTGCTGTCTCTGGATGTCCCAGTCTTCCTCTCTGGCCTAAATTTCTATCTTTCTTAGTGTTAATTGCAATACTGTTTTGTACTTCAATATGTTTTTTTTTGGCTGGAGTCTGTGGGCCCATTAGCTCATGCTATTAGAGAGGGAAATAACAGGAAGGAAAAAAAAAGACCTCCAGGGAAAGAGGAACAARAGAAAAGGAAAGGAACACGGGCTAAGAGGGAAACCAACAGTGACACAAGGGATTTTAATATTAAAGGAACAAGTGAGGCATGGTGGTGCATGCCTGTCATCCCAGCAACTGGGGAAGCTGAGGCAAGAGGATTGCAAGTTCGAGGCCAGCTTCCATACTTTAGTGAGGCCCCAAGAGACTTAGTGAGACTCTGTTTCAAAATAAAAAATTAAGGGGGCTGTATGTGGCTCAGTGGTTAAGTACCCCTGGGTTCCATTCCCCGTACCAACTCCCCCTCAAAATAGAACACCACCACAACAAAACCCCAAAACAACTCCTGAATGTTGTGCCTGAGAACAACAATGTGCCCAGTGAAGAGCAGGAGAACTTTTAGCTTTCATTCCCACTAGCCCCAGCCTTGCTACAACCCTCCAGATGAATCATACCAGCAATGACAGTAATGATAATATCTGAGGTGGCCAGCTGGTATTATCTTGATCTTACAAAAAATGAATAAAATCCTCTTCTGAAACTTGGGTTTTCTAAAAAATCTGTTACTTAACAAGCTCCGTGAAAACTGGCTCATGTACAAAATGTTCATATCAATGTTTTCCCCATCAGCTAAAACTAGAAACAAACCAAAAACCCATCAATAGAAGACTGCATTAGAGGGCTGGCCTTGTGGCTCAGAAATAACAATGCTTGACTCTCATGCATGAGGTCCTGGGTTTCATTCCTAGCACTGCACAAACACAAAACAAAAACAAAAACAAATAAGGAAGAAGAAATCAGTAAGTAGTGCTGTAAGATTATAAGACAGGATAATGTGGAAAGTAGCAGGGAACTACCTTTAGATACAGTAGTCAGCTCTGGGCATGGGGCACACAACTGTAATCTCAGTAACTCAGGAGGCTGAGGCAGGAGAATCACTTTGACAAGGCCAGCCTTGGCATCTCAGTAAGACCCTGTCTCAAAATAAGTAGTAAAAAAAAAAAAGTTGGTGATGTAGCTCAATGCCCCTGGGTTCAATCCCCAGTACCAACAAAAAAATCCAAAACACCCCAAAATAACAAACAAACAAACAAACAAACAAACAAAACAAAACCAAAAAACCAAGAGTTCAAGGCTCCTTCTCCTTATTTTATTTTTATTTATTTGTTTTTGGGGCTGGGGATGGAATCTACAGCTTCGTACATGCTAGGCAAGAGATCTACCATTGAGCCACATAAATCCCTAGTCCTAAATGAAAGTTTGACAGCAAAGCATTCCACATGAAGCAAACAGCTGAGGCAAAGGTGGGGAAGAAGGATCAAGCTGGAGGTATTGAAGAACAGTGAGGCTGCAACAGAGAGCAGGCAGGGAGGGGATTTGGTTTATGTTTTAAAAGTTCACTGTGGCTCCTGTGTTTAGGCCAGAGAGCAAAAAATGAGGATACCAGTTAGGAGGCAGTTGCAGCCATGTTGAAGAAAAGATGGTGGCAGCAGAATTCTAAGGGGGTGGGAGAACCAAAAGCTCTATTTTCAATCTACTAAGTGAAAGCCTTTTAGAATTGTAAGTGGCAGCTGGATACATGAGTCCAGATTTCAGGGGCAAGGTCAGAACTAGAGAGGGAAAACTGGGAGTTTTTAAATGCATGAAGACAACATTTAAAGCCACAAAACTGGGAGAGAAACCTTAACTTACATATTTGAATAGATTTCATAGAATGTTGTCACATAGATCAGAATATGTGGGCAACTGGAAGAGATACCATATTACACGTCTCCCTAAGACYCTGTTAAGATATATATGTCCTACTCAATAAATGCAATGTATCTTCCATAATTAATTCCAGAAGAAGCAATCTCCTGCTTACATGTGTAAAACCTCCAGATTATCTTCTGAACCTCTGTGGATTCAGTTCCCTACTGATCTACTTCACAATATTCTATGGAATACCTTATTTATTAAAATACTCTTTTTTTTTCAACTGGGGATTGAACTACCACTGAGTTGGTTGGCACTCTTCCATTGAGCTACATCCCCAGTCTTTTTTTTTTTYCCATTTTTATACAGGTCTCACTAAATTAC